ACTAGTTGACATTTATTTTGCGATATATGAATAAGTGCGGAAATATTCAAGAAAGTTTTTTTGGCTTTCAACCCTTTGCAAAGTCGTGAAACCGCTTTTATTGAAAGGTTAGCACTAAAAACATTATTTAGACGTAAAAAATTGTAGAGACCAAAGCTACGACAACGCCGCGAATATGGCTGGCAAGTACGCTGGTTTGTAAGCTAGGATCAAAGAATATGCAGGAACAGCTACTTTCATTCCCTGTGCAAGCCATTCCCTTAATCTAGTAGGGTCTAGTGCAGCACAATCTTGTTCTGCCGCACTACATTATTTTAATTTCGTAGAAAATTTATACGACTTTATTCCCGTCTCCGCCAGACGTTGGAATATACAGTTGTCCACAAAAGTGTTCGTATACCAGAACGAAATTTGTTCAATTCAATTTTACTAGTATTTGCGCAACATTTTTTGGGGGATCTGTTTAAACATATAATTAAAGAACATCTCTTAGTCTTCAATACTGTATAGAAGTAAATAAAAACGAATCTTTCTTCTTTAAGTAAATGGAGCATATTTATTATATGCTATAAATATTCCCCGTCAAAAAAGTCTCCGTACACTTAATAAATTAACGAATTTAAAGACAATTAATGGTAGGGTTACCTTTCGCTTGAATAACAGGTTTGAATTGTCGCTGCATTAATTGCACTAAGTTGGAAGTAATTTCATTGCTTATATCATCCTATTCAGAATTTAAAATGTTTTTTAATTCTTGCCGGCTCGAAATCGATGTGTGTACTTCTAATTTTTCAATTAGAAAAATTACAGATATGTATTCAATTGGATTGAGATTCGGAGACTGACGAAGTGTTGTTATCACATGGCGAATATTATAGATAAGCCATTGTTGTACTAAATACGATTTGTGTTTAGGATCATTATTTTGGTGGAAGTTGTAGTCATTCAAAATTCCAAATTTCTCGGTACTATCTTTTAGGTTATCTCTAAGTATATTTAGGTAAACAAATTTATCCATAATATCGTCAATTATGTGCAAATTATTACTGACCCACAATCACCTTTCACATTCGCTTGCAAATTCTTCTTATTAAAGGCAGTTCCTGATCTTCTCCATAGTTTTTTCTTTCACTGTTAAAAATATTATATTTACTTTCGTCACAAAATATAATTTTTTCCCCAAAACAACGCGAGTTTACCAACATCATTTTTTTACAAATTGCAATCGTTTCTTGCAATTAGTTTCACTCACAAATGGCTCAGGTCTAACGGTACGTGCATAAAAATTATTTCGATGCAATGTACGACGTATCGTAATCCTTTTGCAATACTTGTTGTACTTGTAGTTGGTTCCGCTTTCATTTTCTCTCTCTCTCTCTCTCTCTCTCTCTCTCTTCTTAATATAAAACTTCCTTAATTTTTAACTTCTTGGGTCTTCCCGTACGCAGCTTATTAACGACACACCCTTCTTCTGTATTTTTTCTTACAATGTATTGTATTGTGGAATACAAACCATGCTTGCAATTTCCCTTAACGATTTTTGTTTCTTAAATAAATTAATAACAATTTTTCGCTCTTCGGTAGTTTTTTCTCTTCGTTTTTGATTCATAGTTGCAAACTAATTTTTTATAATTAACTTAACTTATTGCACTCGTTGCTAACAGACTACTAATGCATTCTACAGTTAATCTTCAACATTCAGATGTTTCAGTTCGTTATTTGTTTAAATAATAGAACATTTACGTATCTTATCCCGCAACTGTACGAAGACTTTTGTGATCCGATATTTGCACTATATAATAAATATGCTCTATTTACTCCTATACAGTTTTGAAGACTAAGAAATGTTCTTTAATTATGTGTAAACACATTCCAAAAATATGTTATGTAAATGCTAATAAATTTGAATTGAACAAATTTTGTTCTGGTGTGCCAACACTTTTGTGAGCAACTGTCGTCATTAAGAGCGGATGCAGTTGAAGCAATTACGTTGAACTATTCTGAGATAAAGAAAGTTTTGAGTGACATCGGTACACGTGAAAAGGCAAAGCCAAAAGCCGAATTCAAAGCCAAAATACTGATGAATAATTTTAATATGCATGAAACAGCTGCGTTGATCAGATTGTGAGATAAATTATTACGAAGTATAAATAGAACAATGTATCATTATAATACCTTTACAAGATATTAAATTTAATTTATCAAATGAAACTAAATTACTCGATTCCTTATCAGAACTTATTGACGATGTGACGAACAATTTTGAATTCTCAGAAAAGGTTGCAAATTTATTAACAGAAAATAAAGATTATAAATTACAATTTGATGAAACTGCAGAGGGTGATATACCGTGTTTACAAAAAGAAGAAACTTTTTTTGTTAATGTACTTTATGTCGTATGTAACACTTTGCTATAAGAAATACGAGAAAGGAAAAAAGTTTACGACGATGTACTGAGAAACTTTCAAATATTTTTCGACTTTGATTTAAAAGAAGAGGAAATAAATTTCAAAATCGAGAATTTTTTAATTCTTTTTAAATTCTTCAATATACATATATCATAAAGCTATTGATACAGAACTGTTTCCAACTGAAGTTCGTCAATTTTTAGAGTACTAGAAAAAAGAAGACATATTAAACCTCGGAGATACGTATAAATTTATGCTCAATGGAATTGAATCCACATTTCTTAATATGAAAACTATATATAAATATATATCACGGTGCCAATTTGTAATGCGAGCGGCAAAAGATTCTTCTCTGTTTTAAAGAGAGTGACAAATTATTTAAGAAATACTTTCGTCGAACTACATTTAAATGATTTTACTCTGATGTTTATCGAAAATGATGCAATTAATACCTTAGACTACGAAGAAATGATCAGTAAGTTTTCAAAGCAAAAGTCCAGGAAAGCTGCTACTTAAATAATTCTTTTTTAATATAACAAATAAAATTGTATAGGTAAAAATTTTTTCGTACGAATTGTTTTCATTTTAATATAAAATCTTTTTAATAATAGCTCTAATTTGCATAGCATGTAGCATATTAGGAGTCTCAATTCTGTATTGCGCCTCGGGCCTCATTAAACCTTAATGCGTCGTTGAGTACAGCAACTGTTATAGGCGAGAAAAACTGTTTTGGATTTAGGGTTCAAATAGCTTCAAATACAGATGGTTAAATCGTTAATCCAACTGTAAATGTGTCGATCGTTTTTTTTCCGGGTCGACTGCATAGATCGGCCGACTAGCGCGTTGATCTCTACCTTGAAAGGCTTTGCGTCTCATGAACCCGATTGGGTTAGCCTCCGGCAACCGGAGGCGTTATTTCGAAGTCCGGAGGGATTTCGGCAGGGCTTGCTAGGATCGTTTGGCATCGCCCACCGAGCCGAGGCCGGGGAGAATCGAGTATAATTAACGGCCTCGTCCGTCTACCCCTGCTTTATCTTTAATTACCGCGCGATAAGATTCAATTTCAGATATCAATTTGGATTATGCAGTTGACCCTCATGCTCGGAGACATTCGGATGACACATTTTTTTCTGCAACGATTTATCGCTTACACCGACTCCGAGATGTTTTCGTGAGATATGTACCCGGAGAGCTTGATGTAATCTTAAAATTAACTTGCGCTCTGTATTGTAAGGATCGAACTGATTGCAATTTATCAATTGCAATTTTAATGCATGACATTGCCGGATTACTTGGATCAGATCACAGTTAATTCCATCGAAGTCACAGGAAGAAATCGTTTGTTTCGATGGAACAACTATTGTAATACACAAGGTCACAATTTTTAAGATTTCAAGATCATCGATGTTTTTTCTTTTAAGTGGGAGAATACATTTTTATTATCATAGAATGCTAACAGAGATCGAAACTTATTCAGCGACTCGAACACTGTGGCTTTCATGTTACATTTTTAGTTCAAAAAATTCGCGGACGCTTAGGATTAGATTTGTTATAAAAATGACTTTACTAAATTACCTTGTAATTACCTTTCGAAGCTAACAATTGACAAATTTCATCATTCAAGCATATATTACAATGAAATTGGCGTTTAAATAAATTTAAAACAAAATATTTCTATATGAACTGTAAGAAGCAGAAGTTAGATAAAAATATATTCATCCATTTAATAATGTCAATATATCAAAAATAATGCACCAGCATTTTTAAATTCCTTGAAAGTCTTTATATATTTGTATTTCACATACTTATTTTTGTTATGAACGCGTTACTATCCGCAGTCCAGTGACAATTGTAAGATTATAATTCACGTCGCAAATAGTTCTAGGGCCCACCGCGCAGCGGCGCTTCTAGCATCCTGTGCCCTTTTCCCTTTTTACGGCGCGGTACCACGTGCTCGAAATGTAATCACGCAGGTCCGGCGATTGTTATCATCTATTATTAATATTATTTTACTGCCATTGTGCGCGTAATCAATAATATATTGCCTTTTGTTTACTAAGCTACGAATATATACATTAAAAATTCATTGTAAGTTCACTAGGCTACCAATAATCGAGGATAACAGAAAAATAACATTTATTACATTTATAACTAAATAATTAAGAGCAATGCTGGGTCAAAATGCGAAAATTAATTAGAAAATTACATACCGCCGTGCTACTGGCGAAGAAGCACAATTTAAAATCGGTAGAAAACGGGTGTCTCTTGTTTTTGCCAAACAGCGTATGTATTTGCTGCATCGACAAGTTTTTTTATTTTCTTGTCCGTGCCGTCGTACAGAAATATTGGAGTTCGATGCGCCAATTACCTTGTTTCCAGGAACAGAGAGTAAGGAACACGGGAAAAAGTGGCGAGGATAATTCGCCGAACAGTTTATTCATTATTTACGTCAAAAGGGCACGATGAAATTTTTCATCAAATTTTTTTTTAATCTCGCTTGACCAAACTTTAACATAACATTTGTTACATTTCTAACTAAATAATTAACGTGAACTCAATGTTTAAAGTATATGTAATCGTTTTAAATTTCAGATCAGGAGAACAGAGGCACCGAGTCCCAAATTTCTAAACAGAGATGAGTTGAGGATCGGCTACAATGTTGTATCGTATTTCGGCCGTGGTGGCCTCCATTTTGGTTCACCAACTGCAGTGTCTGTATGCCGCCGGTTCAATAGGAGGTAAGCAGGGAAAGCAACTTTTTCGTTAGCGTTCTATAGCTAGATGCAACAGCATTTACTGAATTACACTGATTGAGAGCAAAACAATTTCGGATAGCTGGATCATTCGCATAATTAGAATCGACTGATAATTATCCTTCCTCATTAGTTCTCCGGTATACAATCTCATTCTCCTGTAATCCCGATTTCTATTCACGTACCTACATATGTAATGACAGATGTAGTATACTCGCGAATGCTGTGTATACGTGTACTTAGGGTGATCGTACATTAATTTTCATGCATGAACATTTCGCGATAGTGGAAAATTATAAATTGATGAAAAATAATTTCGAATAGATTCGAATTCTTGCAATTATATATTTGTGAACCATTTGTGTTCAATATTTCATTAGATAATGTTTTTCGAAGTAGAATTTTGAAATGAATATTATTTTAGTTGCAGTGTTACAGTACATTTTCTAGTTTTCAAATTTAATCTACAGTATTTACTCGTGTTCTTTTAGCCATATTTTAATTGTAGGCAATCGTAGGCTTGACACGATAGTTAATAAGATTGTTTCTTAATCTCAGTTTTATAATTACAAATGCAATAACTTCTTTCGTTTAAAAATTTCTTAACGATTTTTGAATCACGAACTTTGGTAAGCATAATTTTTTCCAACAAATAGTAAACAATTTTTGACAGTATTTGTCGTTTAATAAATTTACTCATTGTTCCAATAATTTCGTTAATGAGGCTAAGAAATAACAATGCTTCTTAGAAAGCACACTTCAAATCTTTCATAATTCATATAATGCATTCTGTACCATATTTCTGCCGAACTTGTGTAGTCTCAACTATGTAAGTACAGGATAATTTGATATAGTAAGTGAGTAAATTCTCTCGAATTGTCCTTCAGCTTGTAAATAGGAATGGACAATTTGGGAATAGGAGATACGATTACTCACGGCTCGTTTATGTTCAAAATAAACGGCTCATAACTTGACGTACATTTTTCTTTTTGAGTGCAGATCTTTGAAACCCACTCTAGGGTTAATTGATCCACAGCGATTCGTTTTTATAGTTGTTGACGATCGATAAACTTCTCTTCCTAAATTATCAATTTCTGTTTATAAGCTGAGGGATAATTGGAGAAAATTTATTGTATAACTTTCGGCCAACTTTCTTCCGTCCAATTAGGGAGGACAAATCGACAGCCAGCTAATAAATTTATTACCAATGTCAGTGGCTGTCGTCGTGCGATCCAATCCATTAGATTCAATTCTCTCCAATCTGACGTTGGACAGATCGCACGCTGATTTCATTGTCAAGGTTTGACAATATTTCACCGCGAATATCAACTGCGGTTTTAAAGCGGTTACCCCCGGAAGGCTGGTGAATCGGACAATCTGTTCAACTGTCAGTTTTATAGGATTTTCATTGATGTGGATATTAAATACACTAATAAAATACAATAACCCAGGGATCCTTAAATCTTGATGGAAAAATTGTCGATCTTTGAACGCATGTGGTTTTGTGTGAATGATAATTTTATGACATTCTACCTGTGCTCATAATTATAGCGAAAATGCAATCCGATGCTTCGTTTACGAGTTATTAATGAAAAACAGTGACGAATGAGAGGTGAGATTAGCTGGCGCGAAACGGCAAAGCCAACAAGTTCATTGGCTCGGGCACTTCGCGCTAAGCAAGTCCGTCTCTCATTGGTCGCTGTTTTTCATTAACAACTCGTAAACAAAACTGCGGTTTGCATTTTTGCTAAGGAATTAGTTACTTCAAATGATCTCAGGATAATATAATAATATTATTATTATTAATATATAT